TGTCTAGTGTATGGTTTTAAATATTGATAGTCAATATACAGTTATTGGTGGTGATCGAGGTTTTGTACAAATCATTCGAACACATGATTTACAACCTGTTTATGCTTATCCACAATGTGATGCTAGTATTCCTTCATTAGCAATAACTCATGATCAAAAGTAAAAACAAATATATATATTTCTTTGTTTAATTTAGATATATCATGGCAGGCCTTGCTACAGGTTGTTTGATTGTATTTAATGTTAATTTTAATGTTCTTAATCAACCTCGACGTGATTCTGGAACGCCTACTGCAAATTTTTAATAAAAAATGTTTTCTGTTTTTGTTTTTTTTTCGTAGTGTAATTGTTTTTTGACTATTAATATTTTAACACATTTTTTTTCCTCTGCGCTTTCATTTGAGGCTTTTTTTTCTTATAGACATTCCAAATTTCTTGCGTTTATATGGTTATTTATAAAAGAAAAGATCCATGGTCTCATTTTTGTTTTGAATAGGTGAGGACGGCTGCTACATCAAGTAGTATTTTTTTTTTGTTTTTGTGTTTGATTTGTTGGGTGAGAAATAAGAAAGCCCCAGTGATATTCATTTTGTTGTTGGTGTTTATCGTATTTATTTATTTGCCTGTGCATTTTTCTTTTTACTTATGCTTATAAACGGAGTTCACCGCATTCCTTTTTTTGTTCTTATGCTTCTTAAGCTTCAAGAAAAAATCATAAAGCAATTCAATAACTATTCATATACTTCGCACATAGAATAAAGAATTATTTGCAATAATCAAATAGTTATCTGTATAATTGGTTTTAGATTATTCTGGTAAATTGACAAGTTAAAGAATGACAGCAGCAACTGGTAAATGAATTTATAAATAGTAAATTATTGAAAAACTTTGTATCTACAGAGAAGTAATGAACCAATCCTTTTGCTGCAGCAGATCTTCCCCTAACCGAGAACTCGGCTTTTGGTTTAAGAGTTATGAGATACGTTATATTAGCAAGTTTTCTGTATAGAACAGAAAGTGACATTGTTTCTTACAAAATTATATCAGAATAAAAAGTTTGAGAACCAATTTGCAGATGTCGACAAGACCATTTCATAACTCTTAAATAATGTTGTTAAATTACTTTTCAATAACTCCAATGATAAATTCAAAGAAGAACCTATAAAATATGTGCTTCTATAAAGGTGACCAAAAGAAACAATACGTGCTTGTACCTGGTGGTGCTGGTTTTATTGGTAGTCATTGTGTTATTGAATTGATTACAGCTGGTTATACACCAATTGTAGTAGATAATGAACATAATTCATCAGCAGGTGAAATTAAAAAAATATCAAATAGAAAATTTGATTCTATTTAGAAAAAAAATTTTTTTTTTAGAATGTTTAAAACGTGTTGAACAAATTACTGGATGTCAAATAATTAATTATAAAATTGATTGTCTTGATATTGAAAATTTACGAAATATTTTTAAAAAATATTTAATTTATGCAATAATTAATTGTGCTTCACTTAAATCAGTTGGTGAATCAGTACAAAAACCAATTTTATATTATAAAAATAATATTGGTTGTTTACTTAATTTACTTACAGTAATTGTTTTCTAATTATTAAATAAATATATTTATTTGAATATTATTTAGTGTATGGAAGAATTTAATGTTAAAAATATTCTTTTTTCATCATCAGCTACTGTCTATGGTACACCTAAATATTTACCACTTGATGAAAAACATCCATGTATTGGTGATGCTATTACTAATCCATATGGTAAAAGTAAATATATATGTGAACCAGAGATGTCCATCGCGGCGCTGCCGCGGTGGCGGTGGCGGCGCGGCAGCGGCAGGTTTTTTAAAAAATCACCGCGGCAGCGGCGCGGTAGCGGCAGATTTTTTAAAAAGTCATCGCGGCAGCGGCGCGGTAGCGGCAGGTTTTTTAAAAAACCATCGCGGCAGCGGCAGGATTTTTTTTGGAGGACATTGAAAAACTGTATGGATTTAATAGAATTTCAGGATTTACAAATGAAACACCCTGATATTGAATAAATCTGATGGACTAGTACCCATATCTCTGGTCAAATATAGTCACAGCAGTGAAATTAGAAACACTTTTTTGAAAACCGTCGCGGCAGCGGCGCGGTGGCGGCACGTTTATTTTATAATTCATCGCGGCAGCGGCGCGGCAGCGTTTCTTTTATAAGTCATCGCGGTGCGGCAGCGTCGCGGCAACATTTTTTTATAAACCGTCGCGGCGCGGCAGCGGTGCGGCAGCTTTTTTTTCTAAGGCCGCGGCGCGGCAGCGGCAGATTTTCAGCCGCGATGGACATCTCTGATGTGAACATATTCTTAAAGATACAATAGTTGCTCATCCTGTTCGTATTTTAAAATTAAAATAATCTATTTTTTTGTTTTGTTTTTTTTATTGTTGTTAATTTATTTAGGAATGGAATATCATTCTTTTACGTTATTTTAATCCTGTTGGTGCTCATAAAACAGATTTTATTGGTGAAGATCCTATTAGTAAACCAAATAATCTTATGCCATACATTGCATAAGTAGCTGTTGGTCGTTTATCATATGTTAATATTTTTGGTACTGATTATGATACTCCAGATGGTACAGGTAAACATAAGCAAATAAATATAATTTATCTTCTTATCATTAAAAAACTATTGAATTTGTATAGGTGTTCGAGATTATATACATGTTGTTGATGTAGCTATAGGTCATATTGCAGCAATGAAACAATTTGAAATGAATTGTGGTTTAAAAGTTAGTAATAGATAATGATTTAAATTTTTTTTTTTTATTCTTTCTTATTTAGATTTATAATCTTGGTACTGGTAAAGGTTATTCTGTATTCGAAATGATTAAAACATTAGAAAAAGCATCAGGCAAAACAATATCTTATAAAGAATGTTCTCGACGTCCAGGTGATCTTGCAACTGTTTGTTTATGCTGATCCAACATTAGCAGCTCAAGAACTTGGATGGACAGCTCAACGAAATTTAGATGAAATGTGTAAATAAGTTTTTATTTTTAAGTACAGATTTAAAATTATGTTTTTTTCTTTTATAGGCGAAAATTTATGGCGTTGGCAATCGAATAATCCAAATGGATTTCAATAGAATCTCATACATAGTATTAATTTAATACATCTGTAGAAGTTAAATTTAAAAAAAAAGAGAATCTCTTTCTATCTATAAACGCATTTAGTCAATATTTACATCTACTTATTTATGATGTTTTAGATGAGTAATATTTACATTCAAGAGCCAGCTACTCGTGGCAATGTTGTTTTAGATACAACTGTTGGTGATATTGAAATTGTACGGAATTTTGTATTTTTTTCTTTTTACAAACGGCACTACAAAAGTTTTTTTTTCATCAAGTCTTAGTTCTAGATGTTCGATCAACGTATAATTTCATATGATTTTGTACACCGAATCTCTTTAGTTTTCTTATTTTGTATTTTTAATAACTAGAACATTGAACTTATTACGAAATATCCAATCTCAATCCTAACCTGTTCACCTATGTAACTAATCGAAATGAAATATAAGAATAAGATATTTTAGAAAGTTTAGAAGTTCAACAATTGATCTCAATGTACAACATTTAGGAAAGTCGGACGAATAAAAAAAAAACACTTTTGTAGTGCCCTATATAATAAATGTGAAATAGTAATATGGTTTTTATTTTTTTTTAGAAACTTTCCTCTAAAGAATGTCCATTAGCATGTCGAAATTTTGTTCAATTATGTATGGATGGTTATTATGATGGTACAGTTTTTCATCGAGTTGTACCAAATTTTATTGCACAAGGTGGTGATCCAACTGGAACAGGTGAAGGAGGTGAATCAGCAACTGGAGAATTCTTTGCAGTAAATCATAAATTAAATTAAATTTTATTTTGTTT